TTTGGTGAGCTCGAAATTCTGGCTTTCCATTTCTCTTTGAAATTCTTCACATTTACCTCGTAGCACTGCTTTAAATATTGGCCAGGTGAATCAGAGGTAACAAATGGTTCTTCGTCATTGAACCAGAAAAAAACTTCATTTCATTGTCGATCAAATGGCACAAGTACAGGAGTTTGATTTCTAGTCTTTCAGCAACTAATTTGGTGATGATTAAATGAAAAGATGAAGACGAGTGTAATACCAAGAAATGGAATAAAACAAAAAAATAAAAGGAAATGGAAGTTGCAAGGGAATCTAAATGTTACTCTTTCATTGAAAAGTAATGATGTTGCAAAAGAGAAGTAAAAAGTAAGCAAAGAGTTGATCTTTGGATTTATTAGTTGATTAGGATGAGGAAGATTAGATAATAAAGTAACCTAAGAGTTAAAAGATGAGTAGAACGGCTTGACTTGTGCAAAATTGCTAATAATGACTTTTCCTAATCAATCGTTTTAAGGTTAAATAAATTAACTGATTTCCAGAGAAAGATAAGAAAATATAAAATGAAATTATGCAGAATGTGCAAAAATGTGCCCAGTTCTAGTTCTCATTACGCTTAAAAATATTCTTAAGGGCTTTCTCATCAAAGTTTTTCAATAGTTGAACATTCAAGAACATTTAAGTACTTATGAGTTAAGTCAATTTCAATTTAAAACAATTTTCTGCCTAATTTTAGAGCGCCATCTCTAAGATAAAAAAATTAATTCCAGACATAATCAAAAATCACTTTTATTTAAATAACTTTGAGGTCGTCAACTCTAGCATTTGCTTACCTTCCACTAGTCAGGGCAATAATTAAATTATAACAGACCCTTTGAGTGCGGAGAAATTTTGACAGAAAAATACCAAAACGGTGTTAATATTAGCCAAGATTTTTCATTCACTAAACGCGCGTGTTTTTTCACTTAGTTAGATGGCAAGAGTTAAGGCTGGTTTTGATCAAACATATGATCAAATAACCAACTTCAACTTAGAAAATTAACTATTTTCTGTTGATGAGAAAGCCCTTTAATAGTCCATTTAGTGCAAACCAAATGACAGTTTTAAACAAATCAGATGATTTTTGAAAAAAATTGTTGATAAATCTTTATCTCAAATGATTTTGTTTTTTTAAGGTTGGTACTAAAAGTACACAATTTACTCAAAAATACACAAAAATACAAACTTGCAAGTTTCTTCTATCTCAGTTCGACGTCTAATGATAATTTCGTGGTCAGGATGGTTTTCACCAAACAGTTTAGCTGCTTGCCAGAGATATCCATGAGTAAAATTTAAATGCGGAATTCGTGTGTTTTCAAGAAGAGAGAGTAATCAATTCATCCCGAACTTCATCAGCACTGTGATTGCTTTCCGCTTCCGCGAAAGAGGTGCATTCGTAGCTGTGGCAAGAATTATTGTATTACATTGTCACAGCTAGGGGTGCATCAATCTTGAAATACCTCAGGTAATCGAAACGGTTATGAAGATATGTGTCACAGAGACATTCTTTTCTTTCACCAACCGCACTCAAAGTTTTTGAATTTCCATTTCTCTTTGAAATTCGTCACATTTAACTCGATGCACTTCAACATGTCCCAAGTACTGACCCAGCACATCAGAGGGAACAAATGGTTTTTGTCATTGAATCAGAGCAGGTATTGGTCACATTGTCCAACTAGACAAGCACAGGAGTTTGTTTGAGTTCTTGTCTTTTAGCAACTAACTTGAAAAGGCTAACTTGGAGATGAATTAATGATCAAAGGATAAAAACGAGTACAATACAAAGGAATGCAAGAAAATTCAAAGGTTACTCTTTGATTGGAAAGTAATGATGTTGCCGAAGAGAAGTACAAATTTACAACATGTAACATTGAATGAAGTTTTAAATCTAATGTGCACTTCATTAGTACAACATGACACTTTTGATTGATGGACCTGACATTTGAGTTTTGCATTTGAAACAAAAGTCCATCATTGAAACGGAAACTTTTTCTGAATATCATCTTTCATTATAAATAAATCATACTTTAACAGCTCGGGAAAATAATGGTCGAAACCAAACGATTAAACTAAATTTCCTAATCCAATTAAGTGAATCAAGTGAATTAAAAAAGCATGAATGGATTATCTATCGATGAAAATCATATTTACCTTGGCATTCACCATAGCAGAGTAAATTTCTGACAGTTTTCCATATTTTGGTTCGATAATAAGTCAACCTAAATGTTTTGGGAGAAAATAAATCTAAGCCCAGTAAGCCTAGCCATTAGCTGAATTTGTATGGGTTCAACTCGAACGTCATAGACAAACTGAATTCCTTCGATTACTAGTTCATTTGTAGTTATTTCTTGGATTAAAGCAGCAATATCCTCTCCGGCTAAAGCACCTTTTTCGTTGACAGTTTTGACACTAAAAAGGTTCTAGAAAATTGAGCATTATCCTAATCTTGAATCTGGTTGCATGATTTTTTATCGAGATAGCAATGAGATAATAGAGAAAACGAATTTGGTTAAATTAAATTCTGAGGAAGAAAAAATCATAAATAGGAACAAAAAATTAAATTTTATTACATTCGCTTAAAAAATAGTCAGAGGTTAATCAGAATTAAGGTTATTGAGAAATTCACGCTTAAACAGGGTAGGGGGAAAATGCAGAATCCGTATTTTGTAGCATTGTGTTTGGTTATTAAGTTTGATGGTTTATTGTTGGATTAGGAATATATGCAAAACTGTTTTTCGAGTGCAGAGTTTGGTTAAAAGTCTGGTGCCTAAACTGTACTAAAAGAGACCAAACAACAAAGATTAAATCAATTCCATCAATGATTGTCCACCAGACAAAATTTTTTAAACAGAATTTGCTTCTTTAAATGTGTATTTAATTTATCGAACGCAGTCAAAATAAATTTGCGGTCAGTCATGATGGGGCTAAACTTGTGTTTAGTAATGATAACTTTACCAGAGTTGATTTCGCATTCGTTATTTATTCATAAATGATGCAATTTTTTTCATTGAATTGTTCAAAGCTATTAAAGCATATTAAAATTCAAATCAACGTCAAAAAGAATACATATTAAAATATTAGATTTGAACAAAGTAGTTTTAGTCGAACATTAAGTTTTAATCAAAGAATAATCCTGCATTCGTCGATTTGTCGAGTTATTGTCCGTTTTTTCTCAACATCTACAAAAGTGGCGATAAAATGATGGTTTTTAGTCAATTTTGGGAACAGTGAAGCAGTTTTGTTGTCCAGTTCGAGAACTACCAAGTAGTCTTTGAGAAGTAATTGACATGTCGGTGAATCTTTACGACGAAATAGAAGCAGGTATTTCAGAGTTGTGATGAACTTTTCCATTTCTGCCAACATTTGCGAATAGTCGACTTCTCTTGGAGGGATTGTACAATTATTCATAAAAATTGTTGCACATTTTTCTTTAAAATAAGGAGAAAGATAAGCAGGTTGCCCGTCGAATAGAATTGAAGGACGTTGACATATATGTAGGCATTGATGATCAGCAGCTCCTTGCCAAAATTGAGCCGACCTCTCGAACTGTTTCATGGCCAGTTTGCGAGGATAAAAATCAACTGAAAGAGGATCAACTCTAATAGATTTAATTAGTCTGAGCGAAGCGAAGACTATAAGATACCTCCTACGCTTCCTTAAAAAATCACTTTCACGCCAGTAACTCTCAAAGCTATTGCCCAATTATTTTCAAATTTACTGAGAATGTCCATGAACAAAAGCTGAATTTCTGAAAGGGCAGATTTTTTCAATGAACACTTCCGTTTCCGGTCTACTCAAGAAAAACACATTTCAACCAATTTGAGTACAAAAACCAAACCGTTATGCTGAATACATTGCCGTTTTGTATTTAGATAGCAGCACATGTAATCCTGCTCATAACAAATACATTGTCACTTACCAACTTCCGGTCTAGATATTTTCTTAAAAAACACCCTTTTTCCGACGTTCCTTTATCGTTGTTTTTTATCTTCCGTCAGTGTACCTATCGTGTTCTGCATAATTGATATACCCGAAAAAATCTAAAAAAGTTCATCTTTAAGTTCAACTGTAACCTTTTTTGGTCATCTCCTAAAATTTACGTTTTTTCGAAATTCAAAAAGTAAGCTTTGATACTTAACCAAACTATTACTATCGTGTTCTCCATCACTGAAATACCTGAAAACATCCACAAAATTGCACAATCATGGCACAATTCCCATTAGTTGTTGCTCATCCTTAATCTATGCATCACAGTGTATCTTCTCATAAGTCGCAGGGCTTAACTTTAGATTAAGCCGTAGTTGACATAGGAGAACAAGAAAGAAGTCTAGGTCTTTCATATGTAGCACTCAGTCGTGTGAAGACACATAATGGCCTTATGCTTTTGAATCCCTTTGAGAAGAGGCTTGATTATAATATCTCTAAATCTGACATGATAGCTTCTAGATATAAATTCCTTAGGAGGTTTGTCTAATCTATTAGTGAAGTTTTACGATATTTATAATATTAATTATAAATTATTTGAAACACAAGTGCTGTAAAAATTGATTACATGATGCATGAAATTGGAGTAAAGGACTGTTGACAGAAACTTCGATTTCACAGCTAAGAGCTATGGCTTTGTGAGTTTTTTCGGTGCATAAAAAGTAAGTCCATTAGTGCTATGGGATACCGGTAAAAATGAGTTTCAGATCTCACGCTCTTACAGTCACAGAAAGCGGTCAATTTAACTGTAAAGCGAAGTGTCTGTTGCAGAGAAACAGAATTTATCATTGTAGATAAGTGCATTTTCTGGTTAATCAGCAAAAAAACCAGAAAAAATCTGGTTTACTTATTGAAAAAAGGCGAACGAATTTTAAACTTTGACTTCATTTTTTTCGAAAACTGTCGACCCAAAAAATTTCAATGGCACCTATATACCCAGTTTGGTACTCAGTTTATATACCCCTAAAAACTCATCAAGTCCCAACTCTAAACGGTGAAATCGAAGTTTTTTGTTCATAGTCCTATGAATCTTAAAATTATTTAATTATAAATGCTCTTTTCGTGTTTATTGATGAAGCTAAACGCGAGCTCAGACTACGCCGCTTCACGGCTGACCTAGTTATGTGCGATGTAACATTATCCAAGTCCTTCTCTATCAATGTCAACATAACGACGTCTGTCTTGTCAAATGATGATTTCGATGAACCACAAGAGCTTTCCAGTTGCAAGCTCACATTCTTGGTATATTCGGTGTTTTCATGAAACTGGTTTACTTCAGTTGGAAATGTGCGAATAACCACATCCTCTCCACAAAGTTTTTGACCAATATAATGTGGTGTCCTCAGTCGAAATGTTAAATTTTCATCGCTTAAACAGTCAGATACAGTCGAAAGGATAATCTCTAGAGAATAATTTTTTATCAAAATTTTTATGAGTTTCTTTGTCTTTGAAAGTATCATATCTACGAGTTAATATCACAGATCTGGGTTTCGAATTAGTTCCGTATAAATATTAGTTTTTTCTGTTGAGCTTTTAAAATAAAAAGATATTGACCTCAAGACATTGTTCTTGTCTATACGATAATTTAACCTTAGAGCGAAATTCATTTTAATCATCAACTACAACATTTGATTGTAACTTGTAGGGATTTTGGGCATAATCAAGGAATCAAAATTCCGCTGCCTCATTTTAACAGTAATTTCTGACTTAAGATATCTTTGTTTCGATTCTAGATTTGTCCGAATTATATTCATCAAGTTACAAAGTATGTATTTTGTTGAAGTAAAGTCGGTTCTAGGGGGCAAGGTTAGTGAAAAAATAAAGATATTGGATAAACTTACCTGATTCGATTTCAACATACCGAAATTTATTTTCAATAAGACCAGGTTTCTCTTCCTTTATTAACATACATGAAGCAAGTTGAAAGACCGAGAAAAAACAAATAAAACTTTTAAAATCCATTGATTTTTATTGAATTAACCTTCAATGATACTTGTATAACTTAAGCTGATACATCAGCGGTAACAGTTTTTCAGGTTTAAGTAACTAGAATTGGTTACTTTCGCTTCTCTTATAATCAAGTAACCAGAGCATCATTCAGTGTAAAATTAATGCTTGAAGTGAAATTTTTACCTCTAAATAATTCAAAGAAGTTCGAGATAACTAGACTAAATTTGAAACCATGAAAAATCATCATTATGTGAGAAAGGAAATTAGTTTTTTCATTTCTTCAAACATTGACGTTTTCAGTTTAGTAACCATAAAATTATGGTTAGAAGTTACAATGTTTTTAATCTCAGCGGTTTCTTGAACAGGATTTGACCTTTCTTTGTCTGACTGCACCTTATTTTGAGCTTGACTACATAAAAGCCCTTATTTACTTTTAGTACACTTCAAACTGTGAGTTCAATAAACTCTAAAAGTATAACGTTTTGATCGTTTTGTTTCAAACGTTCGTGTTTTTTTTCAATCAAATAATTGTTCAATGGATTCGAAAATTTACTTGATTTATGTTCTTCTAGCTTTCATTCGCTCGTCACATCAAAGTGATGATTTGGGTTGGGCCAAAGTTGATGTTAAGTATTATATGAATATCAAAACCAGTGTTGACTTACAATGGATGAATCGTCAAGACAGTGCTCAATGGAAAAATGATAGTTTCGTTGGAGATGCTGAGTGGCCTAGAAGAAAAGTAAAAATCGACGAAAATGATAATTGTTATCTGTATTTATTCAAGAATCAAACAAGTACGATTCATGGACCAATAAGGATCAATTCAAAGCATATTGCTTTAGACATAAAATATAACATGAGTGGAATCAATTACCCAAAGGACCGACCTCAAAAGATATATGATCTCGCCTTCATGATGCAAATTCGGCGCATTTTAATGGAAAGTGTATTCAAAGTTAATTTTTTTGATTCAACCAAGGATCTTCTAAATATTTATCTTGAGCTGGATTCTGGAACTGCTTTACTTTTCCCTGAAATCGAAAAAGACGATTATTTTATATTCAATATTATAAATTTTGTGGATAGAATCTCTTTTCCTCTGAGTGTGCATAAAACAAATTATGTCATTTACCCTGAAAAGGATCCAAACAGTTGGGTCGTGGTTTCTCATTCAATCTTCAATTATACAATTTTATCGCCAGATGCTTCTAATGAAATTAAAGTGTAACAATCATTCAATTTTTGAATTTAATGTTGAATAAAAACTGTTTTCATAAATTGTGCAAATTAAAAAGCAAATATTGATTAATTATTTTTGATGAATTAAAACGGTTATAAAGTCACAGACACGTTCTTGTGTTCAAGTGCTTAGCTTGAATCTTGTCTTTAAGATAAGGATCTAGTTAACATGAGGATTTCACCAGGTGCTTTGAAGCTATCCATCCGAGCATCGATCTCTCTTTATGCTCATTTGAGTGAGTGTTCAATTTTTCACCATCACGATCGCTACCGGCTTCTGCGGAAATGGTGCAATCATAACTGCCGCAATAATTATTACATTGCCATAGCTATGGCTGCATCAATCTTGAAAAGATTTTGATCAATGGAATCGGTTATAAAGATCTGTCTGAATTCATGTATTTATCATGCAAATGCATTTATTTTTCAAAAATTAGAGAGTTCTTCCCATTCGAGTGAACAATTAATTCATCATTTTAATACTTTATCAGAGTTATGATCGCTTTCCGCTTCTACAAAATTGGTACAATCATATAAGCGGCACAAATTATTGTATTACATTGCCATTCTTATGGCTGTCTAAATCCATTCACTTATATTCCCATAATTCAACAAGAGATTATGTTGGCGATTGATATAACATCCATTTTTTGGTGGTTGCATCTTAATTAACATTTTCCTATGCAACTCCTCCTTGCTAATTAATAAATCTTTCATAGATTCACAATATTTTAATCATAATTAGTTATTGATAAGTAGCTTGATTCATATTTAAGCAGATTTTCTGAAAGAAATTGATAATTTCAAAAATAAAAACATAATTTATTTAAGCTTTATCTATTAATAGTAGACATGTGTAAAAACAGTTGAATTGATGAGCGAGATCTCGATCATTGTTTTGAGATGAAAGTTGCCTAAGATTGTTCAATCAAACACCAGAAGGGATTAGCTATTTTTAGATTTCAACCAAAGAGTAGCAAGAGATAGCACGAGAAGGTAGAGGGTCCTGAATAAGGTAAGGACTGACTCTGGATTCCGCCAAAAGATGCATTATTGATATTTCCAATGATATTTTTATTGTGCTTTTTGTTAATCATTTCCTTATCGATATTAAATGCTGTCATTAGTGAACAAACGGATTGACGAGTAATCCCTTGCAGAATTAACTTTTAAATCTTTCTCTTTTATGTCAAAAGAATCACTTTGACCAGAATTAGTAAGAAAAGCTACCCGTTTAGCCATCCAAGTGTAACGAATTATCACGGTTTTTATCAGCACTGTGATCGCTTTCCGCTTCTAAAAAATGGTACAGTCTCAGCTGTGGCAATAATTATTGTATTACATTGCCACAGCTACAGATGTATCAATCTTGAAGCGACCTTACAGAATCGAATCGTTTGTAATGAATTAATCAGACGGTATATGATAACCATAGCTATAAGAACAGGATAAAGTTGATGTGCTTCTTGACCTAAAATGAGAACGCTGAAATACTTACAAGATTCTAGCATCCATATGACTGGAAAATGCTTATTATAGTAATTTTAAGCCACTAATACGGCTGTCTGAATCATGCAGAAACATTCTTTGCTTTCACCTACTTTTCACAATTGTACCATAATGAAGTTAACATGAGCATTTTATCAGCATCATCAGCTACATTGAAGCTCTCGAGCATCGATCTCGACTTTATGCTCATTTGAGAGAGTAAGCAATTTTTCGCCTTTATGATCGTTTTTCGCTTCTGCATAATTCAGTGCAGTCATAAAAGCGGCAATAATTACTGTAATACATTGCCTAAATGTACATGGCTGCATAAATCTCCTAAAGGACTCAGGCAATCGAAACGATTACCAACATAAAATAACATAACATCTAAATCCATGAATTACCTCTGCAAAATTCGTTGATTCTTCGTTTATGTCGCTTAAAGGGTTTTTTCTGTGTAGTTAATGGTTCCTAAGATATTTGAGGTCAAAAATTGGGCATTTTTATTAAAATCAATATTAAAAAGAGATTGAATGTGAGTTAAAGGTTAGCTCAGTGGTTAAAGGTGTTAGGTAAACCAATGAAGGTTTTGGGTTCGAATCTGGTTGAATTTTAAATTTTTTGAATTGCTTAATTGATTTATTTATTTTAATTATTTTTTAGCAAAAATTCAATATTTATCAATGTTTTTGAATTTTGATTGATTCATAAAATATGATTAATGA